CGTTTTGTACTATTTCAGTCTCCATCTGTATATATAGACTTGTCTTTTACCTTTCGAGACAGTCCAGTCTCTGTTGTCCACTTTTGGGACTTGTACTCATTTTGTTAGTAGCTCAGTATTAGTGACTTCCAGGTTTTGGGAGGGATCTTTATTTGTATAAATGTTTTTGATTTGCTTCCGCCTGTTTATATTGTTATTTGCCTACTCTTGTTTAGTTTCTACCCTCAGACCCATTACTTGTTGTTCCGGGTTACGGGTTGGCTTACCTGCTGGTGGGTTATAGTAGGTGTCATCATGATTCGAGGAATCGGGTCATGACACCAACAAAAAATAAAACGTTCCCTTCTTTAGTGGTTAACGGTTCATAATCAGCGCGATTTTTTTTTTTCATATTTTCATATATAATAAATAAAAGATTTGATCTTATTATTCAATTTTTCTATGTAAAATCAAATGAACAGTATAATAAAATTGATATATTCAAAATAAAAATAATCTTAAAAATGGTGGAAAATCTACCATTTTATAAATTTCAGCTTCTAAGAAATTAAATAAATTCTCGTTAATAAAGTCGTTGGAGTACAAAATTTGGAATCAAAATATGCGAGTAATTTTTTTTTAAATTTTATTCTAATTGCAGGAAATTCATTTCTATTAAATATAAATAAATTTCTCTCTACAACTAACGAGTAATAACATTTTTCTTTTTATAATAAATTTTAGCATTCTCAAGTCATTAGTAGCAATAATATATTTCATTTCATCCTCCATTGAATAAAAATCAGGACTTGTATCTTCTTTTATCGTGAATTTTATTTTGAATCATTGAGGTAAGGTTTTTTCTTAAGAGTAATTTGAAGAAAAAGTAGTGGGAAAAAGAAACAACTGAAAAATGGGTTAAAGACTTAATTTCACATAGACATGAGTTCTATTTGTATAAAAATAGTCAAGAGACCATATGTGACAAATTTTTGAATACTTAAAGGGCTAAAACTAGTAAATGCATAGTCAAGGGACTACAAATGGTAAGTATGTAATTAAGGGACCAAACTTGATAACATTTTGAATAGTTAAAGGACTAAATATGATAAATGTATAGTTATAGGACTATTTTATACCTACTTCAATAGTTGAGGGACCATTTATGAAATTCCCTAACTATGAACAATCGTACCCAAAGAAAATTTTGTATATAGCTATGAACTTTTTTGTAGCAATTAGTTGAATTATTCAACTACAAATTCTAAGTCGTCGCTATTTCATACCTTACATATTTTGTGACAATTTTTTGTTGTCACTAAATCGTAGGTTGATTAGAGACAATAAAATGATTGTCACCAATTGTTTATATTATTAGTGACGAAAATAAATGTCATAGTCAAATCTAAATTTTATAGCTAAAACTTAGAATATTTAACTACAAGCTCTTATTTGTCACTATTGTATCAACATATTTTTGAGACGAAATTATTTTGTGTCTAAAAATTAATTAATTTTAAGACAAAAATAATTTGTCACAAATTAAAAAAATCATTAGTAACGAAATAATGTGTCACTGGTAACTTTAAATTTGTGACTGACAATACTCTCAGGCGCCAATACATTTTTTGGAGGGAAACTTTAGTGGACAAAACTTTGCTACGAACTATTATGTTTCGTCACTAAAAGTATCTTCCTTGTATATTTAAGCACGAAAAAGTAATTTTTGTCACTAAAAATGAACAATTAATGACGAAATTTATGTCGTAGCTAATAATTTGGTAGCTATATATCATATTTGTTGTAGTGATATATTTTAACAAACTTTTAATTGTAAAAATATTAATATTGTCATTTCGGCTCTCCACTAAATTAAAATCTGATTTATGTAATTAAATATTAATATTTAATTATATAATGACAAAATTTAAGTACCAACTATTGCTCTTTAATTCTTTAGTTATTTCCTTCTAATTAAGTTTCCATAGTTATAAATTTTAATTACTTATTTGCATTCTTCTTAATGAGAAGGAGAATTTCATCTTCTACTAATCAATGTTAATTTAAACATTTTATCTTCTTGAAATGTGTGACTATTAATTTAATTTTAACATTTTTACTCTATTCTATCAGACAAGAGATACATTTTAAGGAAGTTAACCATAAGGTAGCTAGGGTGCCTCTATGTTTGTTTTTACGACTTTATTTTGTCTTTTAAAATAAATATAAAATTTATATATCGAAATTATAATAAGGGGAGGACTAAATGCAAAAGAGTTTGTTCTTATAAGTTAACTATACACTATAAACATTTATTATTTTACTTTTGATATTTTTGTTGTAACTCAAATACAATTTAAAAAGAAATTATGTGATTTTAAATAATTCATATTCATCGTTATGGAGTACACACGCAACACATGTGTCCATATACTAGTTCATAAATAGGATTGGAGAAGTATAATGACATAAAACTCACTCCATAATATAATAAAATTCGAGAAAATGGCCAAATCCCCCCCCCCCCCCGCCCCCAATCTATAGCCAGATTCCAAACTACACACTCATACTTTACGGGGTCCTATTACCCCCCTGAACATTTTTTTTTACATATTATCTCACCCTTATTTGCTGACATGTACACATAAACCAAATATAATAAAATGTTTGTTTACACGCGCCGCCAAGTATTAAATGAACCCCATAACTCTAAAATTTCCCTTAATCTTTTCATTTTCCTCATTCTTTCTCTAAACCCTAACCTTTTTTCAATCACTCCATATTCACCCCCATTCTCTTCATAATATGAGATTTCGTTCCAATTGAATTTAAAGAACAATTTTTGAACCCTAACTATGAAATCAGAGAAATTACAAGCCCTAAAGCTTCAAGCTTTTTGAAATTGAAACTATAGTTGAATGTTTTAACAAGTAAATTCAAGTTTTACGCTGATTTGGGAGAGAATGAAAGAATATACAATTGAAAATTGAGAAAAAGAGGAAGAAAAAGAGAGTTTGATTTTAGGAGAGAATGAGATTATACCATTGGGGATTAATTATAGCTGATTTGGATTCACATGTGTACTTTTCTTCAGCTTTTGACATTTTATTTATTTTATCTTCTTACGCCCCTAAGGGAGTTGTTCTCACCTTCTTCGACATGTCAGCAAATAAGGGTGTGATAATATTAAAAAAAATGTTCGGGAGGAGGGGGGGGGGGATAATATGACTCTCGTAAAGTATGAGTATGTAGTTGGGAATCCGACTATAGATTTTTTTTGGGGGGGGGTGGCTTTTGGCCATTTTCTCATAAAATTCCATGCGTGCATAACAACATTACAAAAGATAAACTTTTATAGATGTCAACAATTAAGAGATATTTCTAGACTAATACTTCATAAAAGAGATACAAAAAGACATGGAAGATAGACACTTTAACATTTAAGTTTTATTATTCTAACAACCCTAACTTATTACTCATTCGGATGAAGTAATAGAAAAAGCTTATTAAAGTACACTCCTAAATTTGACGACATGAATTATTAGTTTCGTTTCTAAATTATTAACAACTTTATATCCATTATTTGACTAACTGAACTTAAATACACCTCGGCTTTTTATTAAGAGTCCCATGCTCGTACAAGAGTTTGAGACGACTTGCTATGCTTTGTCGCAGATCGGGGTGTATCTAAGTTGAGTTAGCCAAATAGATGGATGTTTTTAAGACTGTCAATAATTCAAGAATGAAACTAATAATTCACGTCAAGTAGTTCACGGTGTTTTCAATACTTCTTGTTTATAAGTATCAAAGTTCAAGGCCACTCCCTTGAAGCTTCAACTTGGTAATCTTGTCAAGTTGCGCTTCCATTTCAGGTGTCATGTGATTTTTCCAATCCCCAACAACTCCTTTTCTGAAAAATGCATTATTGTGGACAGAAGTGAAGATTGATCCACTCTTATTAACCTCCAAATTCTTGAGCCTCTCCAAGCTACACTTCTTCAAAACTATCTCCAAATCCTCTTCATTACCAAAAGGTTTTCCAAGAAACAAGGCTATTTTTGCCACCTCTTTCTTAGGGTCTATCTTCAAGTCTTCATACTTCAAGAATAGTATTTTTTGAGGCATTTTTTTACTTTCTTCCCAATATTCAAGAACATGTTCAAAAAATGGTCCATATTGATGAACCCCATTGCAAAAGTACTCCACAACTCCTTCTAAAGGAGTGAGATCTTCTAAACGCTTACAATTATAGTTAAAGAAATGCCACATAGAAATCAAGGTATCTTTAGGATTTCTTGTTATGTATATAATCTTGCAATTATCAGAATTTTTGATTGAATATGGCAAAACCCTATAAGGTAAATGTGTGTGAAATAATCTTGGAGAGGGCATTGTGTATAGATCATGTGTTGGAGTTTTTGAATAATAATCCATGGCCTCTATTGTTGGAACATGAAAATGAGGATTATCCTTAACTAAAAGATCTTCTTCTTCCTCTTTATCACCTTGCATGATGGATACACATATGGCCTTGAGCCACGTTGAACCTGTAAAACAAACATCAGACATTAGAATGAAAATATATAGTTTTTTATTAGTTAAAATCTTGATTTCATTGATCATTGATGCGTAAAAAGTTACAATTTAGACTTGAATAAAATATATAGGTGATGAAAGATATACCTAAGAAAATTAGGAACACATTTTCCTTCGTACCAAACACACAACCTTAGTCCTTAAATATGAAACATATATATTTTTCCACAAGAAGATAAAATAGTTGATGAATTCACTAATCAAACTCAACTCAATTGATTAATAAAAACCTGTTTTCATGGAAGATGCCAAGAGAATATCATTAGGTTCTGATTTGAAGGTTGCCTTGAAGACCTGGACTGCCTTTATAATGGCAAGAGTGGACCAAAATCCTTCCCACTGATAAAGAGTTTCATTCCATAAATAATCATTTTTGGGCAGTTGTTGTATAATTCTCTCTATTTCTTCATTATTCACTATTGGTGATGATTTTTTCTCACTCATTTTAGGAATGGAATTGATAAAAAATAGTGGTAGTTCATATAGTTTAATTGGCCAAATGATATGTGAGTCTATATATAGGGGAAGGAGGAGTGCAAAATATATTTACATTACTTAGCGTAATTGTTAATGTGATGCAATAAGAGATCTATGACATCTTGCATTTAGTGATTCTAGCATACTCTATAACGTATAGGTTTAACCAAAATAGATCATATATATAGTATAAATTTCTTCTTGGACTTCATAAAGAAAGATTTGAAAAAAAATTCCATCACGAGTTACTTTATGATTTAGTTAGCAATGAAAAATCGATTAAATGTAAAGTCATCCTAATTGAAAATGGCTTGTTTAAATATAGGTGAAGTAAAGCAAATCGAAAATGGCTTGTTCAAATATGGTAAAATTACTTGCAATTTTCAAAATAAATACATTTATGAGAAGATGAACATACCTTAATAAGGAGATGAAGCTACATTATTGTTGTGTGTCAATTGGAGGTAAAAGATGAGGAAACCGCAAATCATCAGGTACCAAGTTTGACAATTAAGAACAAAAGAAAAAAAATAAGCAATCTTTATATTTCTGAATACCATAGCGGCAACATGCACAAATGATAGAGAAATAAAGGATCTAATATGCGTTGGACATGTATTTTTTAAAGGGAAAAATGACATATATACCCCCGAACTATCGAAAATAGTATACAAATACCCTTCGCTATACTTCGAGACACTAGAGCCCCGGCAATTAAAAAAGTGGAGCCTTTATGCCCTTCTCTTTAACGGAAGGACATGTGTCGTCATCCTATGCATCTACCATTATTATTCACCAAATTCTAAACCCACAACTCGAATTAAAAAGACCCACCCAAATAACCCCTAACCCACATTGTCAACGTCAACATCTTCAAGGTCCGGCGAGCTGCACCGTCCTTATCCTGACGAAATCATCGGAGGGAACAAAATTCATCTCCCGCATTTTGAACGGCGTCATAGGAGGCGGAGGTGGCTAATTACTTCGTGCCACTCTTTCTCCGTTGAAGCTTCTGAGGCTGTTCCACCGGAGGTGATAGCTCCTTTGGTAGCGATGGCGGCATATGAGGTGGTGGTGGTTGAGGCTCTTGTTTTTTGTTGTGTTCAACTTCATTACTCTGCATTTCAACCTTGTCTGAAAGGATCTTCTCTTTTTCTAATTCGCCTGTGGTGCCTTCTATGAGCTCATCAGAGGTTTTTTCGACAATAAAGGTTCAGGTAGAGAAGAACGACTTTTAAATGTATCCACCGGAATCACCTTAGCATCAAGTTCTTCCCTCTGCTTCTCGCTCCGCCATTAACGGTGACTATCATACTCCGATGTCGTAGAACGGTACAAATTCACACAAAAAAAAGACATTTTAACCCTTTTCTGCATATTGTGCAGAGTTTCTTTTTCTTCAAAATTTTGAACAGTAAAATATTTATTTATCAAACTAATTCATTATTTCAATTTTTAAAATATTCATTATCTGGATCCATGTCCAAACGTATGTTTACTTAGAAATAGATCCTTCCATTGACTTGTTTCTATTGAATCTTGAAGGAAATTATTAAGTCGGCGACATTGAATGTTTACATGCAGCAACAAGTGTGAACTTGATCTAAAGAGGAGGAGAGGGTGGTTGTTGGCGGAGTTGATGGAGGAGTGTGGTGGTAATTGGTTGGGACTCCAATGTTAAAAGGGTTTTTTTCCAGTTCTTTTTTTAGGAGATGATCTTTTTAATGGGTGGGTTAAGGGATTATTTGGGTAGGTCTTTTTAATTCGGGTTGTGGGTTTAGAAATTGGTGAATAATAAGGGTATATGCATAGGATGACGACATGTGTCTTTCCGTTAGAGAGAAGGGCATAGATGCACCACTTTTTGGACGGTAGGGGCTCTAGTGTCTCAATAGTATAACGAAGGGTATTTGTATACCATTTTCGATAGTTCGGGGGTATATTTGTCCTTTTTCCCTTTTTTAAATTAGGATTTAAGAGGTAGAATATAAATTAAAGCAATGATAGTAAAATGCTTTAGACTGAACATGGATCACGCCTTATAGTATAGCAATCATGTCTTAATTTTATTTCTTACTTCATACACATTCATTTGTTGTTATAGAAAATCTATTGTGAAAAAAAATTAGTTGCATATTGTCAAATACCTTCTGTTCATCAGAGTGCAAATCTAATGTAGTAATCAAAACTACTCAAATAAATAGCCAAAATATTAATATCACCAGAATTCCATTAACAATAAGACGCATAAAAAAGCAAGAATAGATAAAAACTCAACATAACAAACTTAGAACTAAAATAAAATATTTAAGAAAAAAAAAGAAATAATCAACTATATAGATGCATGTAGTGGTGGAACCAGAATTCTTAATAAGGGGTTCAAAATCCAAAGGAGTAAACATACGAACTAGTCGAAGGGAGTTCGACATCTATTATATACATCTAAAAAATAATTTTAACCATATATATATAGTAATATTTTCCGTCGAAGGGGGTTCGGATGAACCCTAAAGACATGCTGGCTCCGCCCCTGGATGCATGCATGTTGAACATCTACCAATACACCAAGCAGAGGAATTTTTTTTAAAAATAAAACTTACTAAGAAGAGCAAATCAATAGAAGCAACCACATCAGAATAAGAAGATTAATTATTGCAGAAATGAGAAAATCAGTTAACGTGGAGACATATAGCAGAGTATTCAGTATCCATATTTGGACCAAAACTTAGTAGTTACACAAGATAATTACTTAATTAAATCATATTAGTGAGCTTAAAATTCATTCAATTTATCAAATTATAAATCTTTATGGACCAAAATATTCAAAATGAGAAGAAAATAAAGAGTCGGGTATTGAAATCCCATCATAAAAATGGGTAAAACAAAAGAAAGGATGAAAGATAAATAAGAAAAAAAAAACACAATCACACATGCATGATACAACTCAAGAAAAAACTTAAACAGAGCAATAAACTTCAAAAAGAGATTGTTACCTGAACTGTATTTGCTCTTTCTCCGTGTTGTGATTTTTTATTGTGGTGGAAAATTTCAGCAATGACAAAGAGCAGATTTACCTGAAGAGATGCAATAAAGAAAATACCAAAGAAATTAAGAACGATAAATAACTATTTTGATGACAGTTCTCTATAATTTCACAACTTCATAAAGAATAGTCTAGAATGTGATAAGGAGAAAGTGGGAATGGGTTTATTGGGAAGACGACTGTATTACATATAATAAGTAACAAATGGCTTATGAGAGCAAAACCAATTTATCCCATGAAATTACAAAAATACCCTTGTTTGTATGCTTGTTGGAATTGCACCATAAAACTTTTGGAGATGCGTTCGTCCTTCACAACTCCCACTTCTAAATAAGGGTAATATGCAATACATAAGTACTATATTTCCTATTAATGAAGTACACCCGAGTTAGGAGATGTGGGAGGTTGGATATAAGGAGTACGGGGTGAGGTAGAGTTAGGTTGAAAAAAATATTGCGGAGAGGTGATACAAGACATGGCGCAACTTCATATTAATAAAGACATGACTTTAGATAGGAAGGTATGAAGGTCGCGTATTAGGGTGGAAGGTTTAGTAGGTAATGGAGTGTTGTCTTATTGTTCGAAGTTTTAGGGTTGTTTGGGTCTGTCGTAGTACTAGTCGCAATACTAGTCGTAATACTATAGTTTTTGCTTTTGATACCTATCATCATATATTGTTTAATGTGTTTCAATTATTACATTATTTGTTGTTGCTATTATTCTTTTTTCTTGCAGGTTATGTAATGTTTTCCTTATTAGGTGCAATGATTGCTTCACTATTGTCCTTTTCTTTTACTTGAATTTGTTGTACTTGAGTTAAGAGTCTTTCGAAAATAACCTCTCTAGGTATATTATTGTTGTAAATTTATGTGAAAGATATCATATCCCATATATCTAATTATTGAAGTTTGATTATGATATTTTCATTGTATATTCTTTGAAAATTATTAGTACTAGATATTTTATGTCAAACATTTATTACTCATATTTGTCGAGAGATTTGATTGTGTCTATTGATATACACAAAAGTGAAGGGTGTAATACAACTATTGTTATAGCTATTCTTTTCTTCAAAAAAGAGACGGTTACAAACCCCAACAATCACAACATTAATAGTCAAAATCGACACCTTTTTGTTGATAACTTCAATCATTCACATATTGACCGGGGCGGATCGGGCTATCTGGATGCTTGAGAACCCATTAACCTCTTATCGAACTATATACTTCTATCAAAATTAAACTAGTATCGTATAAAATAAAAGGTGAGCACCTAGTAAACAAATGACTTAGTTAGTGCTGTGATTGTATGTGGGTGCTGGAGGTCATATATTGCTTGTATGCCCAAGTTTATTCCTTGGCAGGGCAATTCTTTTTATTTGAAAATCCAGCTCTTTTCTTTTTTCCCTTTTCACCAACTGTCCTTTTGCTAATTTTTCTTAAACAAAATTCTTTTTTCAAGATAATTTTTATTCTAGTTTTTTCTTATTGATTTTTTTTGCTATCATATTTAAATATAATTGTTTTTCTTATGACAAGTGTTAAATTTGTACATTTATATTTTATGATTGATAGCTCAAAAAGTAACCACAATCTTAAAATCTTGAATCAGTCACTGCTCTTGACTATTGTGCAACTTAGTCTCCCAAAAATATAAATAGTCATGATCTTCCTTGTCTAATAACTCTTTCTTTCTCATTAGTCTAATTAGAAATAATGAAAAGGGAAGGAAAAACAATAATTTGTTCTAGCACCTCCATTTCGGTTCTCCAATTCAAAAGCAAAAAAATCCTTCTCGCTGGTTTGTCTTTTTGGTAATTACAATTGTATGTGAAGGTATATTGTTTCTCCTCCTTTTTTTCTTGAACCAATCCAAAGATTCCGATTGTCTATTGTATTGAATTGAAAAAAAAATAACGCTTATG